CGACAGCGTAATAAAAACAGGCGACATACATACAAACAAACAAACAAACAAACAAACATACATAAACATACAGGTCGGTCGGAAGACGGCTATGAAGGGAAGCAAGGTGACGGAATGAATCCTATATCCTGCTAAACCTCTGGCATCTTACTGCTTGTGTTTGCTTTCGTGTGAACCGTTCGAGACAACACACACTTACCTACCTACCTACCTACCTACCTACCTACAAACAAACATACAAACAAACATACAAACATACCTGCGCTGAGTTTCCTATTACACAGACACGCATAACTAACCTGCTTGTTGATTTGCTCGACCTGGGCCTTGAGCTCCGCGCCGTACAGCTCCACAAGGCGTTCCCTGTACGGCACACGCACGGCAGAGGCACGTGTCATGTCATACACAAACACGGGGGCAACTAGCATCCCTCCACGCGCCCGTGTTCGTGTGTGTACACATTGCGCTTACGCTTGCGCTTGCGCTTGCGCGTGTGTGTGTATGTGTGTACATATTTGCATGGCAGAGTAAGGCAGGGCGGGAGGCAGGGCGGGAGGCAGGGCGGGAGGTGTCCCCCGCACCCCCCTAATCCCTCCTCCGCCACCTGGGGTGGCCCACCTGGAGCTATCCGCGGCCCACATGGCATCGCGGAGGGAGGCAAAGTCCCGGGCCAGGGTGGCATATGAGGCAGCCTGGTCGGGGGAGGGGGGGGACGGGGGGGAGAGAAGGGGGGGAGGGGGGTAAGACGAACCACTGGCGAGTGGAGCAAAAGGGGAAGAGGAATAGGGGGGCGATGTGGGAAGACAATTCGGCTTAGTGCAGCGAAGGGAACCAGGCCAGACTAAAGCTCGATTGAGGAGAGGTGTAGGTGTGAAGGTGTGTGGGTTAGGATGCGCCCGCGCACGGGGTAAGTGGGGGAAGAGCACACGCTGAGTAGTCGTTAGGCGCCTGTCGACGTCTCTCCGACGGCCATATTGAGGCACCTGGGAGGGGGTCACCGCTCTCCCGCCTTGGGACGCACGTGGGACACCTTTAGCTAATCACACGCCACCCATCCTTCCACCCAACCCACATACATGCATACATACATACATACATACATACATACCTGCATCTCCGGGACTTTAATACCAAAGTCGTAGATGAGCTCGTAGTGGGCCACAACCTAGGGCGTTCCGCACACATAGGGAAGAATATTTTTTTTGATTCCAAAATGAGTTTTTTTGTTCACCACAATAAAAACCGTGCGTAACAAAAAAATTGTAATTATTCATTATCAACCAAAAACCAAAAATACACGAACAAAAAAGATCGCTAAAGATAAACAAATCGCGAATGCCGAAAAAGCTTTCCTCATCCGGGGCCCTTTCTTCTCGGTGTTCCAAAGCGCGGCAGTTCTCCGCAGCTGCTCCCACCCGCCACCGACTTCCATTTTCCTAAAAAACCCCAACACACCCCAAGACAAAGCCCAACTCCCCCCAAAGCCCCAAACCCCCATATCCCTAAATTCCCCCCCACCCCACCCCGGGGCCCCCAGCCCACCCACCAGTTCGTAGTCCTTGTCCAGACTGGCCTTCCGGGCCTCACACGCCGCCAGGTGACTGAGGTACACGGACAGCTCGTCAGCGGAACTAGGCACCTGTTGGAGACGGGGGGGAGGAGGGAGGTGGTGGTACGAGGGGTTACGCAGAGGAACAACAAGCACAACAGGAACAACGACACTTCCGTGGGTAAAGGAGGGAGCGAGGGGAGGAAAAGACAATGGATTGAGGAGAAGATTTATATATTTCCCCCTCCCCCCTTTCCCCCAGACCGCACCGTGCTAAGCCGCCTTATGGCCGAATGTACCACGCTGATGAAGCCGTTGTGCACGAAGGCCGCAAGGCGAGGCAGTAGGTCGCACAGAGCCGCCAGAGCTCGCTCCGGAGTTGGTTTCAGAGCGGCCACCAGCGAGCCCAGACGCACACGCAAAACACCCAGCTGCCTGCACAAACACCCCCCACCCCCCGGGGTGGAGGGACGTGGGCCGGAGGGACGGGGGGGCGTCCTTTACTTTGGGGAAACTGGGCGGCGGTGCCAGTGTGTGTGCCGTTGTGTGTGCTGTTCTTGGTGCAAATAGGTGCGACCGCCCCCCCACACACAAAAAAAAAGGTGTAGACGTGATATACACAATTACACAACCACATGGAAAATAATAATAAGGGTAACAAGAGAAGAAAGCAGAGGAATATGCCACAGCTTCGGCAGGTCGCTTAGTCCTGGTAGAAAGTTCTAGAAACAGAGGAGGCACAGGACAATGTTGGTGTTGGTGTTGGTGTTGGTGTGTGAGCCAGTCGTTGCCAGCCAGTTTGGGGCTGCGGGTTGCGTGGGAGGGAGTTCGCACCCCGGTCCGGCGCCCGACGGGACTCGTGTTTTCTCTCCCTTCCGTACCTGTACGGCGGTATGGCCATCACTGCATCCAGCTTGTCCCTCACCAACGTCATCTCCCGCCGGTACATGACCAGATCGTGTTGACCAGCCTCCCAGGCCAGTCGTACAGCCGTCTCGTCCACGGGACGGCAAGACAACGCAGCGTCCCTGCGTCCGTACATGCGTCGTTCGTACGCAATGTCCCATACGTCCATATGTCACGCAGGTGTGGGGGTAGAATATGCCATATTCCCTTCTAAAACACCCATACATACATACATGCAAGCAGGCAGGCAGGCATACATACATGCATGCATACACACATACATACTTGCAAACGTACGCACACACATCGATATACACACAGACATACACCAGCTCCCAGCAACGACCCACCACAACCAAACCAGCAGCAAACCCACTTGATGCCCTCAAAGGTGATCAGCAGCTCCTCAGCCTCCTCCATTAGACCACGCAGCCGGGCCTGTACGGCACCCGCCACCCTGCCGTACGACGCGCCAAGCAGGATCTCATTGAAACCATCCACGTCCACCGCCTTGCTGTCCAGGGGCAGCTCCAAGTACTCCTACATGGCGTGTGTGTGTGTGTGTGTATATGGCCCCGGGTGGTTGGATGCGTGAGCGGAGGGGTCATGGGAGGGGGAAGGAAAGGACGAGAGAGAGAGAGAGAGATTAAGAGGGGGGAGGAGGGGAAAAGGCGGAGGACAAGAGGGGCAGGCGGAAGGCGTTTTACGGCAATGCACAGTACTTAGGAAAAAGCAATGGAAAAAGGGACAGAGAGGTTGAGACTGGGGGAGAGAGAGAGAGAGAGGAAGTTAAGGGTTTAACGGAAAAGGAATGGAAGATGGGCGAAAGGGAAAGTGGTAACGGGAAGGACGGCGGAGCGGAGTCGCACCTGCAGCTTGGGGTGCGTCAGTAGCCTGGCCACCGCTTGGATCTGCGAAATCCACGAGGCCTGGATCCGGCCGAACGACTGGTAAAACTCCTGCGGCGCCGGCGCCAGCAGCAAGTCGCCGCTGTGCCCGCCGCCGGTGCCCCCGCCGACGGCGCCGCCGCCGCTGCCGCTGCGGCCGCCTGGCCCCGACGCTGCAGCAGCGGATGCTGATGCGTTGGCACTAGCGTTGCCGATGACGCTGACGCCACCGGAAATGCCGGTCACGGCAGCCGACATGCTGGAGATGGCGGCGGCAGCGCCACCGCCGCCGCCACCGCCGGTGCCGGCGCTACCGGCGGCGCTGCGGAGGTGAATCTCCAGCTGCAGGAACTGACCTCCGTCGATGCCCCACTCCTTCGGCGCCATCAGATCGTCAAAAGAGACCAGATCCAGCGCCAGGTCGCGATCTGGATCTGCGGTGGCGGCACCGCCGCCTTCAGCGGCCCCGTCGCCTTGCTGTGCCGGCGGTGGCGGCGGCGGCAGCAGAGGCGGT